TTTAAGAGTTGTTTTTTAAAGTTTAGAACAATTATTTATTTTCCACAGATGTGAATGACAATAAAGAACCTTGACTTTGACCCATGGTGAGAGGTGCCGAGCTGGTGTGGGTCTCTTAGCCCCCCTTCTTGGTGCCTGTGTGTTGGGAGTTTTCCCTGATAGATGAGGGGTAGCATCCCTGTGCCTTCGAGTGGAGGGACAAGCTCAAACTGTTGTTTGTGCCTACTTGCCGAATGGCAGTTCAGAGTATCCGGCCTTCTTGGAGTCCTTGGCAGGGGTGCTGGAAGGTGCACCAGCTGGGGACTCTTTTATTCTGCTGGGGGACTTCAATGCCCACCAGGGTAATAACAGTGTGACCTGGAAGGGCGTGATTGGGAGGATCAGCCTCTCTGATCTGAACTCAAGCAGTGTTCTGTTGTTGGACTTCTGTCCTAGTCATAATTAGTCCATCATGAACATCATGTTTGAACATAAGGGTGTCCATAAGTGCATTGGACGCCCTAGGTGATAGATCGATGATTGACTTTGTAGTCGTGTCATCTGATTTGCGGCCGTTTGTTTTGGACACTCGAGTGAAGACAGGAGCTGAGCTGTCAACTGATCACCACCTGGTACATGGTAGACCCAAACATATAGAGAGGACTTGCTGGGAACACCTGGCAGAAGAACCTGTCAAAAATATCTTTTGTGAGATCAAACTGTGAGAATAACACATCTCTGGAAGAACTTTAACCACATCCCAGCTGAGGCAGGAGACATTGAGTCCAAGTGGGTCATGTTCCGTGCCTCAATTGTTGAGGTGACTACCTTGATCTCTGGCTACAAGGTTGTTGGTGCTTCTCAAGATGACCATCTTGGAACTCGGTGGTGAACACCCCGGGTTAGGGAGCCTGTCAACCTCAAAAAGAAATCCTTTTGGGACTTGTTGGCTAGTGGGACTCCGGAGGCAGCTGAGGAGTACCGGAGGGCCCAGTGGGCCTTAGTCTTGGCTGTTGCTGATGCAAAAGCTCTGATGTGGGAGGTGTTTGGTGAGGCCTGGGATAGAGACTCTGATAGACTTGGAGGAGATTCTGGCAAATGATCAGGCAGCTGAGGAGGGAAAAGCAGCACTTTACTAACACTGTGTTCATTGAAGGTGGGGTGCAGTGATGTCATCAGGAGGGGGAAAGAATACTTCTTGGACCTTCTCAATCCCACCAGCATGTCTTCCATGGAGGAAGCTGTTCAACCTTGTTTCTCAGGGTACACTGTGAGGGGTGCTCTGTGAGTATGGGATTAGGGGCCCATTGCTATACGGACTGTTCGGTCCCTATACAAGCGGTGCGAGAGTTTGGTTCACATTGCCGGTAGTAAGTCAGACCCTTTCAGAGTGGGAGTTTGACTTGGCCAGGGCTGCCCGTTGTCACCGATTATGTTCATAACTTTCATGGACAGAATGTCTCGGTGCAGCCAGGGCATGGAGGGAGTCCGCCTCTCTAGGGAGGTTCTTTCAGGCATGTCCAACTGGGAGGAGACCCCAGGGAAGACCCAGGAAACACTGGAGAGATTATGTCTCTTGGTTGGCCTGGGAACACCTTAGAGTCCTCCCAGAAGAACTGGAAGAGGTGGCTGTGGAGAGAGATGTCTGGACCTCCCTGCTCAAGATGCTGCCCCCGAGACCTGACTTTGGAACAAGCAGAAGATGATGGATGAATACTGTAGATGGATGAATTGACCATGGTACAAATTTTTTTCTTTCCCATAAACTCCTATTAACTTTATTATAGATGAATTATTAAATGATAAGTCTCTCGCTGCTGTTCAGTTATTTATATTTAAAAGTTTCTTTCATGCAAAATGAAGAGTATGCATTTCATTTTTCACTGTTTCCTGCCACCAGAAATAGGACCAAAATGGCTTCATGTGTCCTCTGAGTAAGACGGGAGGTGTGGGGTTTAAGCTGCAAAAGAAGGCAAAGCCAAGAGGGCGGAGCCAAGATGAAATCACTGGTGGCACGTTTTCACCACCTGACAGGTCATCAGGTCAGACCCATTAGTCTGAGGATCATCTCTCAGCAGTAGGAGACAAAAAAAAAACTAAATGAGTTTTGTAATTTCATCCGGAAAAATCTGGAGAACTGTTGATCCAGAACTATTGATCCAGAACTGTTGATCCAGAACTATTGATCCAGAACTGTTGATCCAGAACTATTGATCCAGAACTGTTGATCCAGAACTGCAGATCAAGAACTATTGATCCAGAACTGCTGATCCAGAACAGATGAGTTCAACTGATTACAGAGAGTCTGGATCCCTGAGGGAAATGTTAAAGAAAAGAAGTCTGGATTAAGACTTTTACACAGTTTAAACTCACCACACGGCAGCGTTGATGATCTTCATCACGCACTCGTTAATACACTGACAGACGTTGACCAGAGGAGCGCCACGTTCCCCCATCCGGCCCAGGAGCAGACCTGCAGAACAAGAATACAGACATTGATTAACAAACAAACACACACCTGTGTGTCAGTCAAACACACACCTGTTTGTTGGTCAAACACACACCTGTTTGTTGG